CAAACCTTCGATAGTAACCCGCTAAACCAAAAAAAACTTCTTACTTCCGCCACCAATGAAGGTACAGTCCAATCTTTCACTGCCCGTATCTTGTCCGGATCCACAGAGATCCCCCTACTATCAATCACGTGGCCTAGAAACGTCACACTGTCTTTCCAAAACTCACACTTAGAGAGCTTGGTGTATAACTGCTTCTCCCTCAAGATCTGAAGTGCCGTTCGAAGATGTCCAACATGCTCCCTCTTATCTTTCGAGTAGACCAAAATATCGTCGATGAACACGACCACAAAATCATCGAGGTGGGGTTTGAACACCCTGTTCATTAAGTCCTTAAAAACTGCAGGGGCATTAGTCAACCCAAACGGCATAACTATAAACTCGTAGTGACCGTACCGAGTCCGAAACGCAATCTTAGGAATGTCCTTGTCTGCTACCTTTATCTGATGGTACCCTGACCTCAAGTCAACTTTGAAAAACACTCCTGCGCTGCGGAGTTGGTCAAACAAGTCGTCGATTCTTGGTAGAGCCGTCAAAATGGGTTTAGCGCGCCGGGCTTTCCCGCCCCGCCCGCCAAAAGGGCGGAGTGGGCTCATGTTTTTGAAGCCCGTTTTAAAAACGGGCTTTTTTGCCCGCCCCGCCTAACCCGCGGGCTTGACAGGGCGGGCTGGCGGGCTACCCGACAGCCCGCCTTTTTTTTTTTTTTTAGTTTTATATTATATATATTAGTTATATATATATATATATATATATATATATATATATATATATAATTAAAATTAATATATATAATATAATAATATAAATTATAGTGTCGGTTATTCGGTGATCGTGGTTATTACAGTTTCGTAATTGATAAATAACTGAATAGTCGAATAATCAATTTTTTTTGCTTATAACCGTTAACCGAAATTATCGGTCGGTTGGTTATCGATTATCGGTTTTTCGATAATTATACTTATCCCTATTGGTGTCATTGTTGTCATGTTGTGATGAACGAATTTATGTTATTTTCTTATGAATAAGTGTTTTAAGTAGATAGCAATTAAGTTATTAACATAATCACATTAGAGTTTAGATTTTAGGGACATCACACATGATTACAAAAAAAAAAAAAAAAAAAAAAAAAAAAGGGCTTTGGCGGGGCCCGCGGGCCTAAGGGGGGCGAGGCGGGCTGCCCCTACCTAGGCCCGTATTCTTGGCGGGCTTTTTAGCCCGCCCCGCCAAAAGGCGGGCTTTGGCGGGCCCCGCCCCACCAGCCCGCATTGACAGCTCTAATTCTTGGGAGGGGGTATTTGTTCTTGATGGTAACTTGGTTCAGCTCCCGGTAGTCGATACACAACCTCATACTTCCGTCCTTCTTCTTTACAAACAAAACCAGAGCTCCCCATGGCGATGTACTTGGCCGAATATAACCTTTATCAAGGAGTTCTTGTAATTGGGTCTTCAACTCTTGCATTTCTGGCGTAGCCAAACAATATGGGGCCTTAGAAATGGGTGCCGTGCCTGGCATAAGGTCCACTGAGAACTCCACTTCCCTAGTAGGAGGCATACCCGGTATTTCCTCAGGAAATACATCAAGAAATTCACGGACTACGGGTATAGATTGAGCTACCTCTCCTTTTGCCTTCAAGTTCTCGACTGAACACAAGTATAACTCATTGCCTTTATCCATATACCTCTTCATCTTTGTCATAGACACTAGCTTAATCCCGGGTTCTTCCATCTTTCCCCAATATGATACCTTTTCCCACTGGGTCCTCGTAGCACCACCTTCTGATCTTTGCACAGGATTTGGGCTCTAAACCGCCCCAACCAGTCCATACCTAAGACCACATCCATCCCGTCCAAGTCGTACTGGATTAGATCGCTAGGGAACTCTTCTCCCTTGATGTTGATCTTGATGCCCTTGAAGAGATGGTCACACATCCTAACTTCTCCTGATGCTACCTTCACGTTAAACTTCACTCCCGTGCCCCCAGATAAGCCCAGCTTCTTCACGAGTCCGGGTGATACAAACGAGTTAGACGCTCCTGAATCAAACAAGACTATTGCTGGCACGGATTGCACAAGGAAGGTTCCCACTACTACGTCACCGTCACTTGTTCGAACTTCACTTAAGGTAAGCACCCTCTCTTGGGATGACCCTTCCGCTGGATGGTGAACCTCTATCCTCCCATGCCCTCTTACATCTCGGAATGCTGGCAAGGTAGCTGCACTAGGACTTACTCTTGTGGACGTGCCACTCCGGATCCACCGTTCAATCACCCCAGAAGCATTGCTAGATTCGGCCAACCGAGATTTCTTAACCACTTCACTCACATCTTCAAACGTTGCGATTCGCTGGCGAGGAGGCATCACAGACTTCTGCTACAACAACAAGTTTACCAAAAGATAGCAAACAAGCAAGGAACAGAAAGCAACACACAGCTCACCGCGCAACCTAGAGTGCTAAGCCTAACACTTAGCTTCTTAAGGTCGCATAGAGGTCTCAAAACACACTTAACCACTTAGAAAGACTAGACTTAACCCTTCCTAGGCTCAAAACCAAGGCTATGATACCAACTATAACACCCCCCAAACCAGACCTAAATAAAAGCCTTAACACATGCAGATTAAACAACAAAACTAGCACAGCGGAAGATAAAATGAAAACTGGATAAAAGAAATCCGAACGGGGTGTCACGCCACGTCTACCAAACACGGTAAACGCTACGGTAAACAATCTGCAAGTGTATACATCTATCCCAAAAACATCAGTCTAAAACTACATGGCCACACAGGCCACAAAACAAGGATGAGGGTACTAAGCTACCAGGCACTAGACATCGCGCTCGTCTAAACATCACCTGAAAGATCACAAAGATAAACATTGGGACGACGCCCAGTCAGCGATAATTGCCGGTAACCCACCAATACATGTGAAATATCATAGATAGATAGATAGATATAAGTTGTAAAATCATTTTCGAAACGGAATACATAAGTATATAAGTCAAAAGCCAAGATCAACAGTCAACACAAGACTCATCACTCACAAGGATAACACGGGAACACATCCCAAACCACAAAGGTTAACCACAACGCAAAGGAATAAGACTAACCCAACGGCAACACTTGCCAAAGCAACACATGCCTCCGTGACTACACACGTCACGAGAGAAGAATACACAACACCGGCTACACAAGTGATGAGTATATTTTATACCTTAATTTAAATAAGTTTTATTGGTTAATTTTATTATTTATATTTTATATTTCATTATTATTAGTATATTTTGTTATATTAGGATTAAATAACTTAGTTAATAAATTTAAAGTGTAATTAAGTTTATTAGTTATTAAATTGAATTATAAGGTGAGTGGGTTCCATTTTGCTTTATCCCTAATTACACTTTAGTTTACTTCATATGTTTGCTGCGCTGTACGTTCATATATTATATTTATGCTTTTGTTTTGTTTCGGCAGGTTGCGGACGCGAGACGAAAAGCTAAGGCGCTTGAGAGATTTCAACGGATTCATTCGTGGAAGATTTCTGGAGGAAATTAAACAAAACTTTTTGAGGATGAAATTGAAGAGAAAGATGCGGTAAGAACCTGAATTCTAGGGAAGCTTGTTGATTTGGAACCCTATAAAAGGAGAGCCATTCTGATGTATTTTGAGGAGATGGTTCCTTTTAAATTCTTAATATTTTAGAATAGTTATTCTATGTCTGGCTAGATTTCCTCAATCTGATTCAAGAGATTTGAAGTTTTAGTTGTGAATTTAGGGAGGTTCTACTTCAATTAATTTATTGGATTCATGTACTTCCTGCTCTTTCAAAGTTAATTTTACAGGAAGACTGATAGTAAATTAAATTGACAACTTGGTTTATTATTGTTTATCCTATTGCTATCTATGAGTTTATGATCCGTAATTGTCATAAACGATTAGACCGAGTAGCTTGTATTAATTTTATTAATGTGATTAGTACACGAATGACAGGAAGACTAAGTTGCAGGTTGTAGATATCTCAATCTGTGATTTAGGCTTAGTTATTTTTCATTAAAGTGTAATGATGTTATTGGGTGAATATGGAACGCTATCGTCCCCAGTTTATTCAATAACAATTGTTGGTTTGAATGCTTAAATTGAATCAATTAATTTAGGGAGAACAAAGACTAGTTACGGCTATCCTAATTAGTCTTTGGCTAAGTACTTAAATCTAATTTAATTTTTAAAGAGCCGATGATCTGGGTCACTTCTTTAACATTCATTTTCCATTGAATCAGAATTCAACATCTCTAAACTCGATATTAATTATTGTCTATTTTATTTATTCTTCTCAAACCCCCCAATTTCCCCTGCTTTGAGTCATTTTAATTTAAGAAACAAAATTCATTAGTTCTCTTGGGATTCGACCTGGTCTTGCCACTACTACAAATTAGTGGAGTGAGCCAGTATTAAATTTGTAGGGCTTCGACAACCCTGCCAAATTTTGGCGCCGTTGCCGGGGAACTAATATCGTTTCTTGAATTTGTTATTTTTTTTCTTTCTTTCTTTGTGATTGTTTCTGTTGTCCTTAGTGTTGCATGACTCGTTCCTCTCATTCAGGAGAATTACAATATATCCCTGAGATTGAGAAAGTCGCAAGGCAACTAAGGAAAGAAACAAAGCAAAGAAATAGCTCCTCGAGTTCTGAAGAAGTAAATTCAAAGATAAGCCTTAGAGCATTTCCATTTTCATTAAAAGATAAAGCAAAGGATTGGCTCTATAATCTTTCCCCTAATTCAGTTAACACGTGGAATGATGTGAAAAAATTATTTCTAGAAAAATTCTTCCCTGCATCTAGGGCAACTAATATTAGGAAGGAAATATATGGGATAAGACAATGTACAGGTGAAACATTGTACGAGTATTGGGAAAGATTCAAGGAGTTGTGTTCTAGCTGTCCATACCATCAAATCTCAGGCCAACACCTGATACAATACTTTTATGAAGGGTTGTTACCTACGGATAGAAGTATGGTAGATGCAGCTAGTGGTGGTTCTTTGGCTGACAAGACACCCACGGATGCTAGACAATTAATATCAACCATGGCAGAAAATTCTCAACAATATGGGACACGTGCGGATGGATCTATTCGTAGAGTTAACGAGGTAAGTACTTCTCAACTTAAAAATAAAATTTCAGATTTGACTACTCTTGTGCGTCAAATGGCTGTAGGGCAAATGCAATCTACGGGAGCATGTGGATTATGTTCATTTTTCGGGCATCCTACAGACATGTGCCCAACATTGCAAAATCCAAATCAAGAGTTGAATGCAATAGGGGGATTTCCTGGTCAACCCAACCGAAAATATGATCCCTTTTCGAACCAGTATAATCCCGGATGGAGAGATCATCCAAACTTGAGCTATGGGAATCAAGTGGCGCAACCAAGGTTTCAAAATCAGAATTTTAGACAATTCCAAACACCTCAGCAACCTCAATCCCAAGCTTCAAATTCAGGTATGTCTTTAGATGAAATTGTTAAAGCACTTGCTAATAACACTCAACAGTTTCAACAAGAAACAAGAGCAAGTATTCAACAATTGGGCAATCAAGTTTCTCAATTAGCCACATCTGTTAGCAAGTTGGAAGCCCAAGCTTCGGGAAAACTACCATCACAAACGGAGGTAAACCCTAAAGAAAATGTAAATGCAATCACATTGAGGAGTGGTAAGCAACTTCAGCCTGAATCTCCATTATCAGTGGAAGAGGAAAAAGAAGGAAAATCAAAGGAGGAAAGTGAGTCTACGGCTAATGAAAAATCCAAGGTAAGTTCTGAATCTTCTTTTGGTCAATATGATTCATCTCTACCCCCTTTTCCTTCAAGGTTAGCAAAATCAAAAGAAGAAGAACATGAAAATAAGATTTTGGAAACCTTTAGAAAGGTAGAAATCAACATCCCCTTACTAGAAGCCATAAAGCAAATTCCTAAGTATGCAAAGTTTCTAAAGGAACTTTGTACCAATAAGAGGAAGTTGAAGAGTAAGGAGACCATCATATTGGGTAAAAATGTTTCAGCCATGATAAGTAATGATCTACCTAAAAAGTGCAAGGATCCAGGTATGTTCACCCTACCCTGTATAATTGGTAATAAAGAGATTAAGCGTGCCATGTTAGATTTAGGAGCATCAATAAATGTCATGCCATTTTCCATTTATCAAGCTTTAAATATAAATTCTTTGCAAGGAACTAGAATAGTTGTTCAATTAGCCGATCGTTCTTGTGTGCATCCAGTTGGAGTCGTAGAAGATGTTTTAGTGCAAGTTAATGGACTGGTTTTTCCTGTTGATTTTTATGTTTTGAAAATGAATGATGATGCAATAGATCAATCAACTCCAATTCTGTTAGGTAGACCATTTATGAAAACTGCTAAAACAAAGATAGATGTTGATAAGGGTATTCTTTCTGTTGAGTTTAATGGAGAAATTGCTTAATTTAATATTTCTGATGCAATGAAGTATCCTGATGATTATCATTCTCTTTATCATGTGGATGTAATTGATTCAATAGTGCAAGATGTTTTTGAAGATAGTTTTGCTGAAAATTTGTTTGATTTAGAAGCTGAATTTGATTTAGATGAGTTTGTTGATTCTTCTTGTGAAGTTTTATCAGCTGTAATATCTGGTTTAAATTCTGCAAATGCTGATTTTTCTTTAACTCATGAGAAAATGTTTCCATCTGTGTTGCGGGCTCCAACTTTAGAGTTGAAAACTCTGCCTGATCACCTCAAGTATGTATACTTAGGTGAGGGAGAGACATTACCCGTCATTATCTCAAATAAGTTGTTACAGGAACAAGAAGATAAGTTGGTTTCACTGTTGAAAGAACACAAAACTGCAATGGGTTGGACTTTAGCCGATATAAAAGGTATAAGTCCAGCTGTTTGTATGCATAGAATCCATTTGGAAGAAGATGCCAGACTAGTAAGGGAGCCACAGAGAAGACTCAACCCAACATTGAAGGATGTGGTATTTAAAGAAATTCTTAAACTTTTGGATGCAGGTATAATTTACCCGATTTCTGATAGTGAATGGGTAAGTCCAGTGCATGTAGTTCCAAAGAAAACTGGTATAACTGTGGTAAGAAATCAAAAGAATGAATTGGTACCCATGAGAGTACAAAATGGTTGGAGAATGTGCATAGATTTTAGAAAATTGAACTTAGCTACAAGAAAAGATCATTTTCCTTTACCTTTTGTTGATCAAATGTTAGAAAGGTTAGCTGGAAAATCTTGTTTTTGCTTTTTGGATGGATTTTCAGGTTACTATCAGATAGCCATTGCTCAAGAAGACCAAGAAAAAACTACTTTTACTTGCCCATTTGGAACATTTGCGTTCAGGCGGATGCCGTTTGGCTTATGTAATGCACCAGGAACATTCCAAAGATGCATGATGAGTATTTTTTCTGAATTTATTGAGAGTTGCATAGAAGTGTTTATGGATGACTTTACTGTTTATGGTGATTCCTTTGAAGTGTGTTTAAATAATTTGTCTAAAGTTTTAAAAAGATATATTGATGCGAATTTAGTTCTGAATTATGAAAAATGTCATTTTATGGTTAGTCAAGGAATTGTGTTAGGGCATGTAATTTCAGCTAAGGGGATAGAAGTTGATAAAGCTAAAGTAGATTTGATTGTGAACTTACCCTACCCTACTAATGTTAGGGAAGTTCGTTCTTTTCTTGGACATGTAGGATTTTATTGTAGGTTTATTAAGGATTTCTCAAGGATTGCTGCCCCATTGTCTAAACTATTGCAAAAGGATGTTACTTTTGAGTTCGGAAAGGAATGTCAAGAAGCTTTTGACAAGCTTAAGGCACTGCTGACAAGTGCTCCTGTTATTCAACCTCCAAATTGGGAACTCCCCTTTGAAATTATGTGCGATGCCAGCAACTATGCAGTTGGAGCTGTTTTGGGCCAAAGAGTTGGGAAGCAAAGTCATGTCATATACTATGCTTCAAGAACATTAAATGCTGCACAATGCAGTTACTCCACAACTGAAAAAGAACTTTTAGCTGTTATTTTTACTTTAGATAAATTTAGATCTTATTTGCTTGGTTCTAAAGTCATAGTTTCTTCTGACCATGCGGCATTGAAGTATCTTTTGGGAAAAAAAGAATCTAAGCCCAGGCTGATAAGATGGATTCTATTACTTCAGGAGTTTTATTTGACAATTAAGGATCGAAAGGGAGCTGAAAATCCAGTGGCGGATCATCTAAGTAGATTGGTAAGAGATGAGGATATACTTCCTATTTCTGAAAATTTTCCTGATGAGCAATTATTCCAGTTGTCAGGTATGGTTCCTTGGTATGCTGATCTTGTTAATTACTTAGTGACTGGAGTTTTACCTGGTTACATTAGTAAGTCTAGGAAAGAAAAAATAAGAAGTGAAGCTAAATATTATGTTTGGGATGAGCCATATCTGTGGAAGTTTTGTGCTGACCAAGTAATAAGACGATGTGTGCCTGAAAATGAACAGCAGTCAGTTTTAACTTTTTGTCATAATTATGCATGTGGTGGTCATTTTAGTCCTAAACGAACTGCGAGAAAAGTGCTGGATAGTGGTTTATATTGGGAAAATTTGTTTAAAGATGCATACTTGTGCTGTAAAACTTGTGAAAAATGTCAAAAAACTGGTTCATTATCTCGTAGGAATGAAATGCCTCAAATTCCTATTTTGATTGTGGAAATATTTGATGTGTGGGGCATTGATTTCATGGGACCTTTTCCATCATCTTGTGGCTTTCAATATATTCTGTTAGCGGTTGATTATGTGTCAAAATGGGTGGAAGCAAAAGCCACCAAAACTGATGATTCTTCCGTAGTTGCAGGTTTTATGAAATCTAACATCTTTAACAGATTTGGAGTTCCGCGTGCTGTTATAAGTGATCAAGGGAGTCATTTTTGCAATAAAGTAATTGAAGCATTGTTCAAGAAGTATGGAGTGCATCACAGAACAGCTACAACGTACCATCCCCAAACCAATGGGCAAGCTGAAGTGTCCAACAGAGAGGTAAAATCCATTTTGGAAAAGACTGTGAACACAGGTAGAAAAGATTGGAGCTTACGCTTAGATGATGCGCTATGGGCTTATCGGACAGCTTACAAAACTCCGATTGGGATGTCCCCTTATCGGTTGGTTTTTGGAAAAGCTTGTCATTTGCCAGTAGAAATTGCACATAAAGCCTATTGGGCAGTACAACGTTGTAATATGGGAATGAAGAAAGCTGGTGAAGAAAGGAAATTGCAGTTACAGGAATTGGAAGAGTTGAGGTTAGATGCTTATGAAAATTCTAGAATATACAAGGAGAAAACCAAGATGTTCCATGACAACATGATTTTGAGAAAGAATTTTGAGGTAGGCCAAAAGGTTTTGTTATATAATTCTCGTTTGAAGCTTATGCCTGGTAAGTTACGTACTCGTTGGATTGGACCTTTTGTTGTTTCTAACATTTTTCCTTATGGTGCGGTAGAGATTAAAAGCATTGATACAGGAAAACTTTTTAAAGTTAATGGTCACAGGTTGAAACCATTTCATGAGGGAATGGCAGTTTTGAGTTTGGAAGATGTTGATTTAGCCCTCCCGGAGTACTTTAATTGATAAAAACACATTTGAGGTTACGTCGGGCATAACGATGTTAAACGAATGCGCTCTTGGGAGGCAACCCAATTCAATAATCCGTCTTTTTCTTTATTTGTTTACTTATTTTTATTTTTATTTTTCAAATAAGTCTTCTTAGAATATGCTCAATTTCTTTGTGAATATGTGAAGTTTTTATGTGTGCATACATTGAGGACAATGCATGAATTAAGTGTGGGGGAGAGTATTGCACACTGATAATGGGTAAATAGGACTTGATGACTTGTTTTGATTACTTTCTTGCTATTTAGGGATATGTCTTAAGTTAGGATATATTTTTGGTTTAGAGTTTTAACACATGAGAGAAGCAAGCATGATTTTATTTTTTCTTTTATACAAAAAAAATATACTTTTAAAATTCTTGTTAGTTTTATTGAATGAAAATGAGCAAGACTTGATGCAATTTGACCTTTTTGGTGAGCTTTTGAGCCTTAAGAGCAACACTTTGCTCGATTTTCTTTGTTGTGTGATATCAAGCATGGCTTGTGTATGCTAGAACTTGCTTTTAAATGCATTTTAAGACCACATTCAAGTGGGTTAGAACATGAGGATGAAGAGGGCACTTAGGTTGAGTCACTTTTAGCCAAAAAGCCTACCATACATTTTAACTCTTAGTGAGCCACTTTGAGCTTTTAGCCTTTCTTTTCTTTTAATTACCACATTACAAGCCATTTTCCCTTTCTTTGTTAATTTCCCCCAATGAATTTTGAACCCTTGAATTGAAGGAATCATATTGGTCTATCTACACAAAGTTTTGCTTGTTCTTATGGGCAATAAATTGTTTACTGTGGGTTCAGGATGCAATTGGAAACTGAAATTATAGCTCTTGTTATTGGGAGTTGAATTAATTTATCCAAGTGATGATTCTTTTTATGTGAAGTAATGTTCCTTCCTTGAGAAATAAAGTTGGGAGGTTTGCAGAAGGGAAAGAATGAGGAGGATTGAAAAAAGTGTTAAGGAGAAAAAAAACAAAAAAAGAAGAAGGGAAAAGAAGAGTTTGAATAAAGCTGTATACTAGAGGCAGCAAAATGGTTTGAATGATGAAAGAAGTAAAAAAACATGAAAATGAAATGGGAAGGCGATGGAGGAATGAAGGTTTGTTCAGAGCTTTGAAATTTGCTTAGGGAGAAATTTTGTGTTAAAGGCTTATGTGATTCCTTCAACTTGATAAGCCTAAAAATTCATTTTACCATATCCCTTGTCCCTAGCCAAGTTACAACCTTCAATAAAGACCCTTTGATTCATGGTTTAACTCATGTTTGTTAGTGGTGGAGATTTGATTTACTTGCAAGCTTATGGGATTACTTGCTATGTTTTGATTGGAGAGTTTGATACACTATACCTTAAACACTATGAGTGCAATGAGTGAATTTTGAATCCTTGTGAGGGTGTTAAGTCTTGTTCATTGACTTTTTATAAAACTAGTGAGTTATTTTATTTTATTATTATTAAGTATTATCAATAAATCATGTTTGTTCTCTTGAGTGTGTTTCACTTCTAACCCCTAAATATATAATAATTTTTGAGATATTTCTAGGTGGCTTTGAAAGGAGTTGGAGAAGTTTATGTTAGAATGATAAAGATATGCTTGAGGGCAAGCATAGTTTTAGTGTGGGGGAATTTTGATGGGTATATTTTATACCTTAATTTAAATAAGTTTTATTGGTTAATTTTATTATTTATATTTTATATTTCATTATTATTAGTATATTTTGTTATATTAGGATTAAATAACTTAGTTAATAAATTTAAAGTGTAATTAAGTTTATTAGTTATTAAATTGAATTATAAGGTGA